TTTTTTTTTTTTTTTAACTTGTTCCCCACACCTTTCCTGACACTCAGTAATTCACTGGGCGGAGGAGATCCTCTGCTGGCAGAGGGGGAAAATGTCAGAGCTGTGTTATATTTAACTGTTAGCTCGCCGCAGAAAGGACAGAGAAAACCGGAGGAAATGCCTCATTTAGAAATGATCAGGTGCGGTGTTTGTGTGCGCGCGCTCGCGAAGAAATAGTCTCGCCTCGGAACTCACCCTCTCCCATTTTCTGAATGACATTGGAGCTGGGAGGATTTGGTGGGAAGGGGCCCAAAAGAGCAGCAAGATCCTTGGAGCTCCAGGCTGAAGCTTGCCTAAGCTCCTTCACCCAACCTTCTTCCAAACCCCCGTCCTGCTGCAGATCAATAGAAAGCAGCACTGGAGTGAGAGTCTCCCAGTTTGATCTTATTCCTGGACACCCGCAGGGAAGGCTGGGGGCCAGGTGAGCGCTGACCTCTAGAGAAGCCAATGAAGTGAAGGAAATGGAGAATGAGCCCCATACCCAGACCCAGCCCCGTGTGAACCCGACTAGGGTCCCGTCCCAAGCCTGTGCAGTTCCACAGAGGAGCGAGGAAGAGGGTCAAGGAATTGGGCGGAGCCCAGGCGCTCCCAGACTGCGGCTATTCAACCCGGTCCCCGCCGGCTCAGCGCCTACTTCCACTTCTTTAGGGTGACTGGCCCTGCCTCATTTGCATATGCGGCAGAACCACTTTCCGCGGACTAGACAGTGACCTTGAACTGGGCCTCAGCGGCCTCGCGCCTGTACAGCGAAGGCAGCACCGCGCCAGTAATTCCCGACCCTGCGCTGTCGCGGGAGCCCGAACGCAGCTGTTCAAACCTGATTCCCGGCGGCCTACGCCTCCCGCAGCCTCGTTTCCCCAGCCACTAGAGCTGGCTTAGATTTTATAATTAACTGCTGTCGCCGGGCAGTAGAGGCCGCGAGTATGCTGTGGGGATGGAGTCACAGACAGAGAAGGTGTGGGAGAGACGGAAGGGCATCTGGTGGATGCGCTGAAGGACGCGGGCTGCCTAGGATCTTCAAGGAAAGCCTTGGACTGTATCCTCGCCTTCAGCTTTAATTAACCCCCGAGTTAATGAGCGGGCATGGTTGAGCCTGGCCAGCTGCGGCGGGAGCCAGTGGCCTAGGGACCGGCAGGCAAGCCACCCTTTCTAGCCTTGTGATTTGATGAATGTGTGGGACTTTGGACGTTCAATTGCTCTGCTGTTGAACAAGATAATGTTGCGTGGGAGCAACGGAGTCCGGCGTATTAGACCCGGATAAACGCCGCTGCCCAAAGCCTTGGGAGTCCTTCCTGGTCTACTCATTCACCTTCAGCCCGCTCCTGCCAACAGCTCTTTCTTAGGCTGAACTGAGATTTAAAGCTTCTCAACCTAGCCTCCCGCCGGCCCCGGGGATCCAGGTTGGGTGCCGGTGTTTTTTGTGACTCTGGTTGCAAAAGAGGCATCTGAGCTGCGAGTGCGGCTGGGCTACTGTGAGCCACTATGATAAAAGGGGAGACTGAATGCTTAGATTGCGTGGGTCCTCCGAAGGGTCTTGAAAAATCCCCAGGTTCACGTTGACCTCAGGGAGCAGGTCGGGATTTAAATTTTTCCGATGGCTCTTGGCAGCTCTCCCTGAAAGAAATCATTACCGGCTGCACGGCAAAAAGAAGGGTTTGTGCGTCCATCTGTGCCCAGAGTCTGAAATCCAGAGAAAATTGCCTGTTTTGATGGGATCAAATCAGGCTGGGAGAAATGCATGTCTGGAAGAAGGAAACCTCACCCCATCCTCGTTTTCCCAGCATTGCATCTGCCGCCCTGTGGCCGCAGCTCCGTGCACTCAGCGGTCAGGCCCACGAGGGCATCGGGCAGAGCTAAGATTTTTTGAGCCGTGAAGGGATGGAGAGAGGCCAGGATCTTCCTCCTGGGTCTCCCCTCCCTTTTTTAAGAGAATAGAGTCACCTGAAAAGGGAAAAGTAAATGCAGAGAAGACTGTACCCCACAAAGGCTAGTGATTATTCTGCAAGACCAGCTCGGCAAACCTTACTGCAACAATAGCAGTTGAGCCAGAGGCCTGGAGAGCCTGGGTGGAGGAGACCTCATTGCCAGTGCAGTGTTCGGATTGAAATCAGCAATATTAAAGTCACACCCTCCTTATGACCAAAAATAACCCCCTAATAAAAAATTAAAAACTAAATTTTCAATGGTACTGATTAATGCATCTTGAAAAGGAGAAATAATAATACGTTGTAGATGCTTTGACATGGAATTTGCAGCCAAAGGATGCTCCTTTCTGCAGCTTCCCAGACCCTTAATCAATTAAGCACAGAAAGGCTAGCCCAGGGCTAATCTCCAGCCGTGGCGCCCCTGGCAATCTCGGCTGTACCCGGAGGCGGACAGCGGGGCTGGTATCCCACAGCTGGGCCTCCTTCCTCAAGTGGGCCAGGCACAGGGCGGGATCCTGGATGCGGGAGGGGCCAGGCGAACAATCTGAAGCCCGGCGCTGGAAAGGGAGCCGGCCAAGCGGGGC